AAAAAAAAAAAAAAAGCCTGCAGTGCACTTCTAAACTGAAGAAGAGGTAATGGATAGATGCTAACCAAGATAGTGTAAAAACTCTCCCAAAAATTTAACCTTGGCTGGGCATGGGCTCACACCTGTAATCCTACACCTGTAATCCTAGTGCTTTGGGAGACTGAGGCAGGACAGCTTGAGACAGCAGGGAGTTAAAACCAGCCTGAGCAACATAGAAGACCCTGTCTCCACAAACATTCTTTTTAAATGAGCCAGGTGTGGTAGGGCATGCTTGTAGTCCTAGTCCTAGCTACTGGGGAGGATTGTTTGAGCCCAGAAGTCCTTCAGCTTCGGCAAGAGAAGGAGAGTCTGAGTCCAGGAGCACTTCAGCCTGGTCAAGAGAGGGAGATCCAGTCTCTAAATATAGATAAATAAAAATTAAAATGTAACCTTAATAACTTTGAATAGAACAACAGATGAGATTCAGAAAAGAGTAGCTTTGTCCTATTAGCTACGACTTTAATGTCCTTGTTAAAAAAAAAGAGAGAGCTTAAGAAGTTCCAAAGATACATGCTATCAAATAAACGCAGAATTTAAATTTGTAATGGAGTAATTAATGAGTGGCAAATTCCTTGAACGATAGTATCTGCATAGTTTTCAAGTATCTTAGTTTCTGGGCCAAGTTTTCTAAGCAGCATCACCAAAGGAATACTACGGAGTTGAGACCTGGAGAACTTTGGTGCAATTTCCCTCCTTTAGCTTACTCTAACTCATTATTTCTCCTGTTGGACTTTATTATTGTTTATTGTTCTTTAGTATGATTATTCTTACTTATGATTGTTATTAGTGATTTTTGCCAACCCCTCCAGAGTTTCCCGGAAAAAGTGCCGGCTGTATCAGAAAAGAAGTGTACAGATAATAGGACTAAGTAGTATGAGTAGTTCAGTAAAAATTGGGAGAATCCTACCACAATCTTTTTAGCAGCCACTATCATGAGGAAACAAACAACTAAAATACAACTCCTTATGTGCCAATAATACAAATATGAACGCCTAAAGTCAGTAGTAGTAGCAAAATCATAACCTGGCTGTGATAAGATTTCTAGCCCAAATTAAGCCTCTGCATTTAAACATGCAGGTACACAAGGATGGCCAGATGCACACTGAGAGCTCTACTTGTCACCACATCTGGCAGTCACTGAAGCAGGGAAAAACTGACTTTCCTGAAGGAGCTTCTTCCTCAGAAACAGCAGGGCCTCAAGCCTAACTAACTCTGGAGGCATCGACAATCCAAATTCCAGACTAACTCTTGGCCAAGCTAACTTTCATGGTGTCCACTAACTCCACAATAACAATACACAATCTGGCCACAATCAAGCCTTTCCAATTCTCCAAAGCATCTCTAGCCTTACTCGTCCTTCGTAGCTCAAGATAGAAGCAAAGCGACTGACACAAAGGCCAGTCGTCCCAAGGTTTTTGCAGGGCTCCGCTATGGCCACTTTATTAAATATTCCTAAACTGGGGGCTCAATGTCCCCCCCTTCTTCCCTTCCTCAATCCCGCCCCGGCCGGTAAGCCTCTGCCTGGGAGCCCCTCCGCCTGGAACAAAGCGAGGGGCCCCGGCGGTGGGGGCAAGAGGCGCCAGCGGCACGGGGACTACCGCACCGCGCACAATGAGAAACTATCAACTTCAGAGCGCAGGAACATCCTCAATTGGCAAGAAAGAGGGGCGGCGGCAGGCACGCCCAACTTCAAACTCAGGAAACCTACGGGCTGGCGGCCATCTGGGAAAAAGCCCCCTTCCCAGGGAGAGAAGAAAAAGGCAGAGGAGATGCGAATCGCCCACCGGGCCCCGGAGGGGAGCCCTGCCCTCAGACCGGCCCCCGCCCCCGAGGCCCGCTTCCCCGCCTTCTCTCTGCCTCTGGTTCGCTGCCCCAGGCCGGGCGGCAGGTTACCTTGATGCGCTCCCGGCACTGGGACGGGGTCCGCTCGTAGCCCAGCTCGGCCAGGGCCCGGGACACGCGCTCGTACATGGCTGGCCCGGGGGCCTTGCTGCCGAACACCGTGCCGGCTCCCTCCAGCTGCTGGTACCGCGCCTCCACCAGCCGCTCGTTGCCCCACACTGCGATGAGCGCGTTCGTCTCGGCTGGCGTCCACGACATGCCCCGGCAGGCGGCGGCGGCGGCTGCCGCAGCCCCGCCACCGCCGCCACCAGGGGAGAAGGAGACCGAGGACGAGGCGGCGCTGCGGCCCCCCAGCCCCAGCCCAAGACCCCCGGACGCCGCTGCCCCCGAGCCCGCCGCACTGCCCGGCCCGAGCGGGGAGGCACCCCGAGGCGTGGAAGGGTCGGACAGCGATGGATTTCCGTCGCTCAGGCCACCAGGAGAAGCCGGGGAGAGCACCTCCATCTTCGGGATTTTTAGCGGCGAGTTGGCGGGCAGCTCCGAGCCACAGGGCGCAGCCATCTTCCAAGCCGCCGCCGCTGCACCGCCCGGAAGTGACGCGCCCGCGCATCCGGCCACCGCGGTCTCCGGGGCTGCCCTCGGGCCTGGCTCGCCCGAGGGCGGACGGCTTCGGGTCTCTGCAGCTGAGGATGTGGCTGCCGGGCGGAGGTCATCCGATCCCCTGGGCCTTTCTCCGCGAGCCCTCCCACGCCGCCCGCTCCTCTCCCGGGGCGAGGGGCGGGAACGAGGCGCGCCGAAGCCCCGAGCTGAGGAGAAGGGTGGGGGCATGAGGGCGCTGGAGTGAGGAACAGATTGGAGCCTTCCCACTTCCTCTCCAATCTCAGCCCCCGGGAGGAGGGGTGAGGCCCGCGAGGGGGCCCGGAGTTAAGGAGGAATTGACCATTTATTTCTCTCTCCTGTCTCCCCCGCCTCTGCCCGTCTTCCCTCTAAGCCGGCCTCTAGGTGCAGAGGCTGACGTCCAGGGTGGAGACCAGGGAAGCCTCCAGAGGGTGTATCCGGGAAGCCACCAAGGCTGAAGGGAGAGCGGTTCTGAGGGGGGGCTTTAAAAAGCAGATATGGCCCAGGACAGAGTTCCTACGCTATAGCTTTTCAAGAAACCCAATCTCATTAATTGAAGAACAGCAACTATTTAATTCCAGTTATCAACTATTGTTTTCCAGTTAGTCTGGGTAGGTGTGACCGTTTGTAGAATAGTCTTCATTACAGTTGTACCAATTGAACATGTAAAAACTCCTGAGCCCAGCAGAAAAGTTACTTTACAATACCGTTCTCCATTCTCCCTGCTTTGGAAGTTGCATCGTTTTCCCGGTTTTTCATACTCCAAGAACACTATCAATTATGACAGCTCTGTGCTCCCTATGAATTAGTGTATTAGCCACTCCTGAACGTTCCTTAAAGTGGTGGAACTTAACAGCACGCCACATCCAGTACACAGCTGTACGGTGTTACCCTATTCTCCAAAGCTGAAAATCTTAACTGTCTTGGATCATTAACTTAAAAACCTCAGCGGATTTTTTTTTTTTTCAAAACAGACTTATAACTGAGGATGCTGACCAATGAGTTCGAATAAACTATGCGATATTTTTTAAGATAACAAATGTATGTTAGTTTTTTTAAGCTGAGGTCAGCTACGTTTGGGGGAGACATGTGCTTTTTTAAATTACTGTTTTATTTCAATTGATTTTTTTAGGGGGGAACAGGTGGCATTTGGTTACATAAATTAAGGATTCTAGTGGTTATTTCTGAGATTTTGGTGCAGCCATCACCCAAACAGTGTACGCTGTACCCAATGTGTAGTCTTTTATCCGTTCACTATCCCCCCGCCCCGCTTTTCCCCCTGCCCCGCTTTTCCCCCTGAGCCTGCGAGTCCCCAAAGTCCAATGTATCATTCTTATTGAAATCAGCTAAATTTTTAACTCTGAGACTCACTGGAGAGAATGACTGTGGTTGTCTTTGGTTGTTACTGAAAAGCTAAAGGATTAAGCAATAGGGATAAAGTAGAGGAGGAGATAATTGTCTTTGTATGTCATGTGAAAATGCCATCATAGTTTATAAGCTAACAGAAGCCTAAGGAAGTTCCCGAATTTATGAGATCCTCTTCCCTTTTTTGTTAATATTCACTCGGGGTGGCTGACAAAATATTGGGGAAAGTTAGAGATTAGTCTCAAACCTTTTGGAATGCCAAAAGATTTTACTGGGGCAGGCGGAAGGCCCCTTAAGTTAGGATGATAAGAAGCTTTTCCTAGTTTAAGTCTGTTTACCCTACATCCTGTGGTCTCTAACTATTTACTCATGTAAACTTTGTGCTGGATGGCCCTATTGGGGAGATCAAAAGGGAATTACCTGTTAACAGTGTTTACTCTGGGCCTGGAACCTAAAGCTTTTATCATTTGTAAAACCACTCTTTTAACCATGTTAATCATCCACAAGCGGTGACTTAGAACCTCTGTTATGAATAAATGTGTGGATAGACAGAGAGTCTTGGTCGATTGGTTGCATTTCACCCTCAGAAAGGAGCCAATGGCCATCCCTAGCCCACTTGTATCACTGTAATGGTATGAGTGAATTCATTCATTCCTTGTTAAGTCAGGGTCTGCAGGCCATACTTCCTCAGGTGATGACCAACGTCTCACTTTTTTCCAAAAAAAGATGCAGTCTGGCACCTCAGTTAAGAATATGCACCCTAAAGTCAGACTGCCTGGCTTCAAATTCCATTTCTGTGACCTCAGCAAAGTTACTTAACCAAGCTCTCAGTGCCTTGTTTTCTTCATCTGTAAAATGAGGATGACATCACAGCATTGTTGAGAGAACTGATTTAATACAAGTAAAGTCCTTAGAATGGTGCCTGGTTCACAGTAAACATTGTGTGAGGACTCTAGTAGAATCTCAAACATCTGTTAAAGCAAAATTAACTCTTATTCAGCCCGGTGATAAATTTTTTAATGTCATGAGGTATTTAGTGTGTATGAAAGGGAGAATTGTGCCTAAATCATATACCAAGTCAGAGATGCCAGAGATGTGTGTGTGTGTGTATGTGTGTGTGTGGGGGGGGGGTCTCACTCTGTCATCCAGGCTGGAGTGCAGTGGTGTGATCTCAGCTCACTGCAACCTCTGCTCCCAGGCTCAAGTGATTCTCCCACCTCAGTCTTTCAATTAGCTGTGACCACAGTTATGTGCCACCTCACCCAGCTAATTGATGTATTTTTTGTAGAGATGGAGTTTTACCGTGTTGCCTAGACTGATCTCAAAATCCTGGGCTCAAGTGATCCTCCCACTTCAGCCTTTCAAAGAGCTGGGATTACAGGCATGAACCACTGCACCCAGCCCTCCAAAGAGTTTTAAAATTACCGCTTTAAACTCTCATTGTCCCACAAGCCTGAAAAAAAAAA